AGAGAGAGAGAGAGAGAGAGAGTTACTGACATTTTTGGATTTGACTTTGCTGCCTCATTCAGGTTGATGTATTCTCCTTCGGAATTGTTATGTGGGAGCTTCTCACAGGTGACGAGCCATATGCTAATCTCCACTATGGAGCTATCATAGGTACTCACACCATCTCTCTCTCTCTCTCTCATTATTATTATTCTCATTTTTGCCTGCTGATATTTGCTAGTCATCGCGACTTATGCTTCCACTACCTCCTAACAGGTGGTATAGTGAACAACACACTTAGGCCACCAATCCCCGAAAACTGTGATCCAGAGTGGAGGTCACTAATGGAGAAATGTTGGTCTTCCGATCCTCCAGAGAGGCCAAGTTTTACAGAGGTTGCTGACATGTTGAGGTCAATGGCAGCTTCCCTCCCACCAAAAGGGCAGGCCCAACATGCACCTGCGCAACCTCAACAACCAAGATAATGCTTCAAAAGATTTGTACTTGGTCATTCTGGTTGCTCTCTCTCTCTCTCGTCTCTCTCTCTCCCGTCTCTCTCTCCCCCGTCTCTCTCTCCCAATGAATGTTCATCCTGGATGCTCACCAATGCAAAAGGCCATTGTACAGGACCGCTTTTAGGATCAAAGCTGTGTTGATAAAAGGGGTTTGCAACCTGGCTGTGGTTTGATAGTGGTGACCACTGTGAATCCAGGAAAGAAAATCCCCATCCTCATAAAGATTAATAAAATGATGCCAAAATACAAGACCAAAATGTGACTGATATTATGAAAATAAAACGCGCCTGAGATTGATACTTCTGCCTTGGATCTCTCTCTCTCTCTCTCTCTCTCTCTCTCTCTCTCTCATATGATCGCCTGATTCCCCCAATGTCCCTTCTGCTCGAAGGTCCGGTATGTGATCTGACAAATGAATGGGTCGCCAATCTTAGAGATGGCGTGATGAAAGGAAATGAGGATACAAAATGCATATCGGTGAAAACATATCCATGTTCTGGAGATTTGAATCATGTGGAAATTGTCCCTAGAAAGAGAAAAGCTGTTGATATCTTCTACAGTAGAAGATATTACTTGATGCCTACAGAAATAGAAGTTCTACTTGGTGTCTACAATGATATTACTGCCTATGATTGATGGTAATATGGGAAAATGGCCTCTACCTCTCCTGGAAATTTCCTCCCTATTAGCCTTTGGGATCACCAAAATCTTTTTAATCCTTCAAGTTTACAACTTTGGGACCATTAGCTCTCTAATTGTTTTTTTTTTATTTTTACAAATTTGACCACAAAATGCCAAATTTATATATTATATTCAAATTTTATTGATGATGATGATAATAATAATAAAAATAATAACAATTATAAGTAATAATAATTATAATAATAACGATAATAACAATAGCAATATATACCTTTTATGCAATTGCCCCTAGATCAAGCTTTGTAGTTAGAAAGAAATTTTAAGAACAAGAAATTAAGTAGGCAATTTTTGGTCTTGGGACAGATAAGGCCACGAGGCTAAATGGATTCCTTTTAGCCTTTTTTCAAACCTTTTGAGACCTCTTAACGATTGATCTCTTTCAATTGGACCAATGTGGCAATGAACTCCACTTTCATTGCTCTGATCCCAAAAGAAGAATGTTATTAAGGACGCGAAAGATATTGGACCTATTAGCTTACAAGGTAGTTCTTATAAATTATTGCAAAGGTCCTTGCTAATAGACTGCGACAAGTGGTCTATGTAGTAATAGAGACAAAATCAGCTTTCTCAAACGATAGACAGATCATGGACAATATTTTGGTAGCCCACGAGTGTATACATTCTAGAATCAAAGAGAAAATACCGGGCCTAATTTGTAAGAAAGATTTTGAAAAGGCCTATGATAAGATCGATAGGAAAGTGCTTTAATACATTATAGGCAAAACAGAGTTTAGATCGAGGTGGAGGTAATGGATTGAGGGATACCTTCCATCCACTCACTTTTCAATACTTTTGAATGATAAGGCCACTAGTTTCTTTAGGGGTTTCAGAGGACTGAGACAGGGTGACCCCCTATCATCTTTTTTATACACCATGGTGGTAGAAAGTTTTAGTGTGATGCTAAGAGGAGTATCATCAAAGGGGCTTATTTCACAGATAAAGAATGAGAATTACGGCTTGAATGTATCACACTTACAGTATTTAGACGACACAATAATTTTCTGTGATCCAAATGTTCTTGTGATTAGTAGATTGTAGATATTTCTTAAGAGCGTCAAACTAGCAACTGGGCTGAAAGTTAATCTCAATAAAACCAAGCTGATTGGCATGGATGTTCTCAACCTATAGTGTCTAGAATGGTCGAATTGCTAGGGTGTGGTGTAGAAAATTTACCTTTTAAGTATTTGGGGATCTCTTTGGTGGACTTGAGGCCTTCAAGATCTATATGGGATCCAATAGGGGAGAGATTCCATAAAAAACTGGATTTGTAGAACGAAAAAACTTTGGCTTTAGGAGGAAGATATATTCTTATTAAATCCACCTTATTCAATTTAACAGTTTACTTCATGTCTTTGTTTAGAATGCCAAAGCAAATTGAAAGGGTACTATAAAGGCTTATGAGGGATTTTTTGTGGGTAGATGATGAAAAGAAGAAAAGACTTCATTTGGTTAGTTGGGAAAAGGTGTGCACACCTATGAAAGATAGCGGCTTGGGTGTTCGTAGATTGAAAAATATGATTTCTGCATTGCTTATTAAATGGTGATGGAAAGGCGATACCCAACAAAATTCTTTTTGGGTAGAAATCTTTAGAGAAAAATATGGTTTGATCTGATTATGGTATCATTAAAAGCCCAAATAACAAGGCTAGCCTCTCTCATACTTGGAGGGGAATTGATTTTGAGAGACCAATTTACTTAAGGCACATGGAAAGTGGTGGGTAATGGGGAATCCACACTATTCTGGTATATTAAGTGGTTTGGAGATTACCCTCTTAGATATCTCTTCCCTGAGGTATTCTCCAAAGTCTCTTACCAACTAGCTTCGGTGAAGGAGGCTAGTGGGAATGCTCATACTAACATTATTATTCAATGCAGATATAGGAAAATGATATGTACTTTTATTCAAGAATATCAAACCTTGTTATATTTGTTGAACAATATCTATCTTACCCCTAACAAAGAGGATGCAGTGATTCAGGATCTTACCAGTTTGGGGGCTTTTCCCTAAAATAAGCTTATAATCTACTTTTTTGTGATCAATTTAGACCATTTGACCCATGGCTATTTCAGCTAAAGAAACTTCATGTACTGCTTAAAGTGCAACTATTTCTATGGATCCTTTGTCAAGATAAGCTAGCCATATTGGATAATCTAAGGAAGTAATGGTACAATATAATCAATGTCTACATCCTATGTAAAGCTAGCAATGAGACTGTTCAACATTCATTCTTATTTTGCCTTTTCATCGTTGATATTTGGAGTTGGGCTCGCTAATGTATTATTCTCACAAGTTTCAGAACATTGGGCCTAGCACTGTTTGGAGCATCGCCGCACGTGTATAAAGGCCCAGCGCCGTCTATGACCCAGCGCCGTCTGTGACCTAGCGTCGTCTGTGACCCAGCGCCATATGTGACCTAGCACCGTCTGTGAAGTGAAGAAGAGAAAGAAGTCAGTGCCGTGCGTGAAATGTCAGCACCGCCCGTGAAAAGTCGGTGCCGCTCGTGAAGATAGGGATGAGCATCGCCATCTGTGGAAGAGGCCTAACGCCGACTGTGAAGAGAGAAGGAAGAGCAATGCCGCGTGCAAAAGGCATTGTCGCAAGTGAAAATTTGAGCATCGCAGCGAGTGTAGCACAGTTTAGGGACATCGTCGCACATGAAGGCAAGGAAGATGTGACCGTTGCTAGCACCACACTTGTCAATACCATACGTGTCAGCGCCGCACCTATCAGAGCCGTACACGTAAGCTATAGTGACATTCACGTACCCTGGGTACTTAAGCCCTCTCCCCTCCCCTTTTAACCACGGTTCCCCTCACCTTTCCTTGGCCCTTTTTCTCTCTAGAACCAGTGGGAGTTAACTGCTGCCTTAGAGAAGTCATTGCTTCGAGCTCGAGCTGGCTCGCGAGTGGGAGATTTGAAGACACTGTGAACACCAGGTAAGTGGGTTTAGTGCCGTGCATCATTTCACTTCGTAGGACCTAAATTTACGTTTCTATGAAGAGCAATATGATAGAATGAGGTGTATGAAAACAAATGAATAAAAAGGGCTTGAATGAGTGATTGAGCATTGAGTAATGAACTTGATAGATTTATAGAGTAAATGCTATGTGATAGCTACTGCTAAGTGTCGAATTAATGAATGTTACATGATAAGTGTTGAATTGCTACTGATAAGTGTTGAATTGCTACTGATAAGTGTCGAAGTAATGAACTTGATGAATATTACATGATAAGTGTCGAATTGCTATTGATGACGTCTAAGCATAAATGCTATGTGATAGCTCATGAAATGGACGATTCTGAGTAAGACTCCGTTCTTGCATGATGAAATTTGCTGTATCTGTTATAATGCATTGATTTAGCATGAATGAAATTTAATGCTTGAGCATGATAAGAGGCCATAATAATGACTACTATACAATAGGACACTGATTGGTAGTGGGCACTATTCTACGATAATACGGTGATACTGGCCATTATTTTATTGATACTGCTCACTATAAGATGGGGCACCCATCGGTAGTGAGGATTGCTATACTGAGGAAAGTGATGCCAGCTATATCCCCTAACTTGCTGAATGATAAGATGTAGTTAGGGAAAAAGTGAAATAGGAGGGTCGCACCCCCTTGAGATTTACTGCGATATGACTAATGACTGATGCCTTGCAAAGTAAGTGCCTATCAAACCCCCAATGCGCGCTGGGGGCTGTGTGTGTGAGTATGAGGGCATTACGAAGTAGATTTCCCCACTTGTCATTGCTCTCCTTATGGGGAGATGGTAGAGGTTCTAAGCTATAAGATTGGCTTAGCCCGATGGATAGGGCCTCTATTGTGGGAGTAGGTGAGCTAGAGAGCGAGTGGGTAATGATTGAATAGTGATTGTGAATGCCGATGATTGAATTCGATTGAATGATACTTGCTCTATGGATAGAATGCTTATAATTGATGCACTGATCAGATAGTTGATTCTTATGACTACTGCATTGAAATATCGTATAGTTAACTAAAATGTTTATGATTCATGAGTAGGCTCATTATTGAGGCATAGAGATTAGACCTGCTTACTGGGCTATATAACTCATTCCACTATTTCTTTTCTCCATGTAGATTGATAGCTGTAGGTTCAGGGTCTGGAGTTTATGTTTTGCGACGGGAAGTCGAAGCTAGATTTCTTGAAGAAGGTGCTTAGATCTTGTTTGTATCTGGGCTGTTTGGCCTTGGGTTTTTGTTCATTGTAGATATGTGTAATTTTGGTCCTACATACCCTGAATTGAAGTGTAATATTTTGGAAGAATTTTATATAGTGGATTTTTGGTGTATGAGACTTTCTATATTCATCTGCATGTTGAATTATTGTTTTAATTATTTTCCATGGTTCGCTCCGTTTATCGCATTATCAAAGTGTTGAGTCACTCCGACCTGAGTGGCATACGCTACATCGAAATCACGGACCTGCACCCAGCCATCCTCTGTCGAGTACGTATTGGGATCGGGGGCGGGGTCGTGACAGATATGGTATCAGAGCAACCATGATAGGATTCTTGGCCTAGGGGGTTTTAGAAGAGTTCTTAGAATAGTTTTTGGATAGATTAGTGATTGGGT